TGTAGCCTACAAAGCCTTCCTTGCTGCGGCCTCATTTCTCAGCAGAAATGGGAAAAGGTCACTTAGTCCCTCACCTACTGATCCATACGCTAATGGATGTAATGGTGAGCGGATGTTTAGCTTTCAGCTCCTTACCTCATAGCTCCATCAAGCCAGGCTCAGGTTTCCAGGCTGAGGGCATAGCATCTGCCAGCGCCTGACCTCCAGCCTCCCCCTGCCTCCGCCAGCAATTAAACAGCACGGCAGCCCCTGTCCTCTGGCAGGCATTGATATTCCTCAGCCTTGGAACCAACAGGGCTTGGGACCTAAAGGGGGCTCAGATGCCAGAGCTAAAGCCAGCCCTGCTCCTCACGGAGGTGGCCCACAGGCAATGAGGCTCCCGAGCACCGCGGTGTGAGTAGCTGCCTGTCCCGTCCCTGGTGGCTGTGCTTGGCTCTGAAGTCTCTGGCTTTACTCCGTGCTGTCATCCCCTGGGGTTTCACACCTCCTCACTTTGACTTCAGTTTATTTTTATTTATTTTTTTCTTTAATGTTGCTTTTAGAAGCTTGCTCCAAGGATGCTCTTAAAAAAATGAATCATTAGATGGGGAAAAAAAAAAAAGGATTCTCATTCAGCCCTTGTGTTGGGCAGAGGTGGGGGAGAGGCTAGCACGGATGCACGATATGACCACAGAATTAGCTTTCGGAGCAAGCAGATGGCTCAGTCTCAATAAACCCCTCAGAGAAAGTCACGGAGGTCTTTGAGGGGTCAGTTTGCTTCGTGTTTTCTCCAGGGCCTGTGCAGGGAGGAGAGAGAGGGCAGCTCTGGGCTGAGGAACCAGACAGCTGAGAGCAGGCCTGTCCACTGACAGCACACGTTTCTCACTCCCTTTCAACAAAAAACATCTTATCTTGGCAAAAGGCATCTCATAGCAAAAATGTCAGGCAGGGGCTTGCGCTGTCCCCCCAACCCAGCATGTGTCACTCCTGTGTGGGGTCTCTGGTATGCTGACATGGGGCAGCCACACACGTCCAGGAGGAGGAGGAGGAGTGAGCATCTTCATGGTCACGCAGGTTATTAAAGTGCCCTGGGACCGCCGTGGGGTATTTGTGTGGGAGCACCACCCCCCAAAAGGTGGTGCCCATGCCTGGTCAGTCGGAGGGAGCTGCGGTTCAGGCCCGTGGGTGAAATGTGGCTTTCCTGGCACCACTGGGACAGCGTGGCAGCTGGCACGCAGGAGGACGCCGTGTGAGGGCTGGCGTTGCTGTGGCTGGGGGGAGGCCCAGCAGGTCTCTCCTCCTCTCCCACCCCAGCTTCCAGCAGATCACCCCGCCTGTCTCTGCCATTTTCCTCTTTTCCTTGTCCCACCCATGGGTAGAAGCACCAAGCACCAAGAAAGCTCAGCTTCCACACCCCGACAGACAACGCGAGCCCGTCAGCTGGGCTGTGGCTGAGGGAAGCCTCTGACCTCTCCTGAGCTCCTCTGAAGTCATGGATCATGCACAGATAGTTCACAGGACCCAAAAAACGCTGTGGCTTCACCCTTGCAGTGACGTGGGGATCCAGCACGGGGAGCAAACTCAGTGTTGGGGGACTGTTTGGTCCCCACATCCCTGCTGCGCGCAGGGGCATACGGGAGGTGAGTGACTGTCACACCATCCTGATGGCTCCAGGGTCACCCTACTCCATGAGTTGTCTGCAGGCTCCTTGTATTCTCTGCTTCACAGACATCCGGCTCAACTTTATTAGAAATAAAACCCATGTTTCTTGTGAGTGCAGCTCTTTAAATTGGAGGGATGATTCACAGCAAAGTTTGCGTTCTACCCACAAACCTGTTGTCTGGGGCTCTGAAGCATCAGCTTCAAGGAATGGGCAAGAGCTCGACACCCCCTCGTTAAGACAGCAGAAAGAACAAGCTGTTACGTACAGAGCTAAAAATAATTACAAGGCTTTGAGCCTTCCTCCCAGTGGCAGCAGAAGGATGCTCCAAGCGCTGATGGCCCAATCCATCTCTGGCATGGCTCTGCCTTGACGATGCATTAAAGCCTTTGTGACTTTTTGAAGCTCAGTTCAGATAAACGCAGAGCAGCGCGGCTGCTTTTCTGGAGCCAGTGTGATTTCTAACTTGGCTGAGAGTGGCTTGGGGCAAACCCAAAAGCTGGTGTTCCCGACGGGGACGGCACCTTTTTCACTAGAATTTTAATTTAGGGAAACTTAAGAAGGGGAGAAATGCCCAAAATAGCTGAGATTGGCCCAGCAGCTGACAAAGCATCTCTCTGTAAGTCGTGTCTTGAAAGCAGGATTCATCTGGGAAGTAACGACATAGTATAAATAACAGCCACGAGGCTGTTTGCCGGGAGCTGTGCTCAGGCCAGGGAGGATACCGGGCATCCCGTAAGGATCCCTGCCGATGGCAGGGTGCTGGAGGGACCCCAGAGACCTCCACACTCACTGCAGAGTTCAGCAAGCATCTTTCCTCGACCTCCTCTCCCCAGTCTCCCTCGACGGCAACGTTGTCCCCTGATGGGCGCTGATGGAGATATCTGCCAGCCTGAGGCCACCAGCCACCTAGGGTGATGGTGATCCCTTACCAAGCAGTTTCTTCTGCCAACGAGCAAGTTTTTATTCATTCTTTTGGTTTTACAGCAGCAGCCAAGGGAGGTGCTTTGTCACCGCCTGCGACCAAGGAGCGCTAAGGGAGAGTGACCCAAGGGTTTGAGTAATGATAAAACGCTCACGGTATCGATCTTGGCTCAGGATTTGTTTCCCTTCTTGCATTGACTCCCCATCGATGCCGTGATAACCTTAGAGCATTCGGTGTTGTTGGTCTTCCCCCTCCACCGGCAGCACCCCGGCGCGCACACCCAGCTCCCCTCCCGGTCATGGTTTGGTGCACTATCCCAATAAACTACATCTAAGGGTGAGGAGTCCAGGCAGGAGTTAAAGAAGGGGGTGGGTTTGTCCTGGCCGTGTTTCCTCACATTGGGGACCCCCCCACAAGGCTGTGTCGTTGTTGCATCAAAGCCACCTGCTGTAGAGGGGGTCAGCTCCTGCTCGTCAGAGGGGCTGGTTGGGGTGATGGTGCTCATGGAAAGCCCCAGCCCTCTGCCAGGTTGGGGTCTCCAGCACTGTCACAGACCTGCTGAGATGAGACGGAGTGAAGCTCTTCCCATCTTTGCAGGGGACAGTGTGAGGTTGGCAGCTGGCACTCCGGGCATGCTATGTGAAAGTCACCTTCTCTCTTGCTCCCTCATAAACTCCAGCTCTCACTATGAAATTGTTTAATGGCACTTTTGGGGAAAAAAATACCTTTCCCTGGGGTCATGGAGGGGGCTTTGGCTCCCTTCACCTCTGTGAACCTGTGGGCAAAGCCCTTGGAGCCAGGGAGTAGGACCGGGGTGAGCGTGGGGACGGTGACAGTGCTGGTGGCAGTAGTGCTGATGGTGGTCCCCTGAGCGTGAGGCACTGATGCTGTACTGGGATCCTCAGCTTTACTTGGTTTTGCAAGTTTATTGCACTTTCTATTTATTTAATTATTAATGAGCTTGGATGCTCTGAATGGGAAGAAGAATGGCGACTCCCCAGGTTTCCTTCCCCCTGTGCTGTCGGATGCTTTCCGTGCTTGTGATTCCCATTTTAGTCCACTCGGAAACAATTTTCTGTAAAACATTGACATCTAGTGGCTTTTCTGCTGAAGGAAACGATAGGGAACAAAAGACTGGCTGCGGGGTGGCCAGTCATGATACCGCTCGGGAATGTCCCTTCTCCTCCTTAGGCAGAACAGAGAACATGGTGATGGCACCCCAGGGGCTCCAAGGCACATGCTCCTTGGTGTCCTTGTCCTGAAGGAGCGGTCTCTCCTGCCAGGGTAGTTTGCTTGTTGGCCTACTTTAATTCCATTTACTCAAGCAGATCACTGGTCTCCTGACAGTGTAGCTCCAGCATCATTGCTGAGGTCGTGGTCACGCTAAAGGGGGTGTGAAGAGCTTGATGTGTATGGCTTCAGGCTGATGAAGGTGGAAAACATAAGTGTTTGTTGGTGAATATTAACGTGTGGCCCAGAGTGATCTCTTCATGGTGTACGTAAGGTTGAGCTTGCAGCTTTTCCAGCTGGCTGCCTGATGGGGTTCCCTGCAGCAGCGTGTCCCCCACATGTGCCACCCTCCTGTTGCTCCAAACCAAGCACCTCCCTTGGCAACAGTTTCTCTTAGAAAATGCTGCCGTGCACCCTTTAATTTCCTGTCACTCACTTATTTCTCCTCTCTTACCATTGCAGTCATGTATCAGGTGAGGGCAGGAGGATGAAAGGGGATGTGCGTGGGCTTTTCCCAGCTCCTCATTTCAGTGCAAGTGGGTTGGGGCTTCTGGGCACACCCCATTTATCTGGCCTGCGAAAGGAAATGCCTTGTAGGACATGTCTTGTAGGAAGTGTCCTCCTCCTTATTGGCCTAGTGCTGCTCTGGGGCTCGTGCGGCTGGGACCCACGGCTGCTCACCAGGAGAGGCAGCAGGAGCAGTTTTTTGCAGACTACGTAAGCTCTATCGTACCCAGCCATCATATCCAGCAGCATATCCTCTGTCATATAAGGAAAATCAAACGTAAAAAAAAAGCCAGAGCTCCCTGTGCCTTCCTTGAGTTGAGGCTTCCATCGTGAGAGGTATTTTAATTGTTCTCCCAAGGTCTGGGGAGAACACCAGTTGGGGCAGCCGGCGGGAGCTCGTAGCCACGTGGGCAACTACACAGAGGGAAATGTGGGGTTCCCTTCCACCTCCATAGAGGAGAAACTCGTTAAGCACAGCCAGGGGTGGGCAGGCAGAGCTAACCCTCCCAGCTCCCCGCAGGGACTTGGTTGAGCCGCCCTTCACCCCGGAGAGGCGAGGGCGCGGAGGAGCACTCTGCAGCAGGGCTGCTGAAAGCCTCCTAAAGTGCATCTCCAAGGTTCTATTGATTTTGCACGTTAATGCGCTGTGTGCTGGAGACACACGGGACTAAACGCTCTGCCTTCCTCTCCCCTTGGCAGGAATTTCTACTACATCACCATCCTGCGTGACCCCGTCTCCCGCTACCTGAGCGAATGGCGCCACGTCCAGCGAGGAGCCACCTGGAAGGCCTCCCTCCACGTCTGCGACGGCCGGTCCCCGACCACCGAGGAGCTCCCCAGCTGCTACACGGGGGACGACTGGTCAGGCTGTTCCCTGCAGGAGTTCATGGATTGCCCCTACAACCTTGCCAACAACCGCCAGGTCCGCATGCTGTCCGACCTCAGCCTGGTGGGATGCTACAACCTGTCGGTCATGCCCGAGGAGCAGAGAAATAAGGTTCTGCTCGACAGTGCCAAGGAGAACCTCAAGCGGATGGCCTTCTTTGGCCTGACTGAGTTCCAGCGCAAAACTCAGTATCTCTTTGAGAAGACTTTCAACATGAACTTCATCTCGCCCTTCACGCAGTACAATAGCACAAGGGCCTCCAGCGTGGAGATAGACGAGCAGACTCAGCGGCGCATCGAGGCCCTCAATTTTTTAGACGTGGAGCTGTACGATTATGCAAAAGACCTGTTTCTGCAGCGGTACCAGTTCATGCGGCAGAAGGAGCACCAGGAAGCGCGGCGGAAGCGCCAGGAGCAGCGCAAGATCCTGAGGGCAAAGCAAGCCCACCTGAGGGAGCGGGGGGAGAACGCCTCCAGCACTGACTACCTGGGGAACGTGGAGCGGTGGCGGCGGTAGTTGGGGTGGGGGGACACTCCGAAACGCCACGTGGACCCCAGCCCGACCCACCAACCGGAGACGCCGGGGCAGTCCAGACACATCATGCTTCTCCAGGGTTTGAAGTAAAAAGAGGTTGAAAAGTTGCCTTCGCAGTTGCCTTTGCAGTAAATGTGGTACTGTACGCGGAACGCTTCATCTTAGGGTATAATTAAATTGTCCTTTTTAGGTTGGTTGGATTATTTATGAAATACAGGAGCCGAGTAGGCTCATCGGAAATGGTTGCTTGGATGTTTATTTAAAAGAAAAGGAAAAAAAAAAAAAAAAAAGAAAAATTACCCTTAAATTAGTTATGAGTACAAAATGGGATGCCGGAAAATGTTTATGATGCTCGACTCAAATCTATCTGGGAATCAAACTCATTTCCTAATAATGAGCATTTAGCATACTCTCACAATACAGTATATGAGCAAAACCTTTTGCCTTTGATTTTATCTTAATTTTATTTCAATAACGTGTTTTCAAGGGCACCGACTGCTTATGATATTTACCAAGTTAATGAGTGGATGATGAAGGGAACAATAAAGGTCTAGAAAAAATACTGACTAGTTTTATGTATAATATTGGCTTTTAAAAGGAATAGAAGTAATTTCTCTAGTTATATAAATATTTAAAATTTTAAACTTTTTCTACCTACTGCTGTTTAGAGTTTTAAGCTTGGTCTATCTCATATTTAAAAAAAAAAAAGGAAAAAAAAAAAAAAAGACATACATACTTTTCTGAACTCAATGCCAACGTTAAAGACACTGTTTCCAGAATTTTTCAGGGCAGTATGATTTTAACTCTGGAAAACTTACAGCACATCTTCATGTTTCATAAAGCCTCTTCCCAATTATAATCTTGTGACAGTGTCTAATTTTAAGTCTTTGTTGCCCATTAGAATACATAATGCTGAACTCCTTAATAATTGGTGGTATAAACTAGATGAAATTATATTGCGGATATTTGTGTAGTGGCTTTAAAAAGTCGTAAAACTCTCTAATCCCAGCGATATTATGAAGAGAATTGCTCAATGGAAGAAGTAGATTTACACTTGAATTAGGATTTACTTCCAGTAAATCTTTGCTACACCAGATAAGAACAGGGCTTTTTTTTTTGTTTCTTTTTTCTTTTCTTTCCTATGCTCTTGAGCCCTTCTTAGCAGTTGACAGAGGAGCGATGACTACACGTGAGGGAAACCAATTTTGCCATAGCCATAGCTGTAGAGGACGGGATGGTTGCCTGGTGGGATCCCAAGCTGGACCGGGCTCACCCGTCGTCCTTCGGCCTCGCAGGGATGGGCAGGGAGAGGAGACGGGGCAGGAGGCGTCAGGGGCTCCTATAAATCTCTATGCAAAAAAAATAAAAAAAGAAAAAAAAAAAAAGAAAAAAAATACAAACCGTCTGTAAGGCTTGGGCTATACATTCAGCAAGTTCAGCAACGTTGTATGCAGCCTGCGACGCTCCCAAGCTTCGCACTAAATAGCAATCTCGGTGCAGGTGCGCGGTGACAGAGGCACCCCAAAAGGGCATTTTTTGTCCCGATGTACACGATGCTTACAAGGCTCACTTGCACTATTGCCTTTCGCCTGTAATATTCTATACACCAAGAGGGCGGGGGTGGGAGGGGGGTATAAAATGAGACAGAAGGCTTTAAAAACGTCTTAGGGCTCCACGCCTGAGTTATGAGGAAGTTGTGTTACCCCCGATGTTGTGTTGCCCCCCCGGGGGCAGCGATCCTGCCGGGGGCAAGCAGAGAGCAGAGCGGCAGCAAACCAATACCCTGCGTTAGCAGCTTGGACAAGAGAATAACTTCATGTACAGCAATTCATTTTTTTTATTTTTTTTTTTTTTTAAATGAGAACTGCGGTTGCCAATACGATGTCTGGGTTGTATTTTGGGTTTTATGGGGAAAAATAACTCGCTCTTAAAACTGAAAAGGCACTGCTGTAAACAGGACTGAACCGTGGGCGAGCTGGAGGGCCTGTTGCAGAAGGTGCATTTTGTTTTTATGCTGTGGTGTGCATGGTTTACAGAGACTAGTTGCATTTTCTTTGTGTATACTGTTTATTGTATATAGGGGATGTACGGATATAAGGATACCATTTTGTCATAACCATATCAAATTCTACTGATTTCCACTGTAGACGCTGTCTTATTGTGTAGACTTACAGGCCGATCCACTGACTTTGATTGTGTAATTTAACAATAGAACGGATAAATAAAATTTAACTACAGTCTTCTGATTTTCATGTCATTATTTCTTTATCTGACAAGGCGCTGGGAATCGCGCGGTTCAGAATGAATTTAGACAGGAATGAAACAGCAGTTGACAGGCAAGTCTGTGAGTGGCTTTTCTGAAGTGTACTTAAACTGGAGCTTGGGAGGGCAAAGCCACCTTGGACTTCTCTCTGGTTCTGGAGCTACTGCAGAGATTTTGGCTGCTTTCCTGAGCAGTCCTCAGCAAAACAAGCTGTGGTTTCTGGTAGTTTTACATGGGATTGGCAGTGGTCTGCAGCATTAAGGGGTTCTTTCTCTCTCTGTACATATATGTGTGTGTAGGATTGTTTTTTTTCCCTTTGTATGATACCCTCCCTTTGTGCTCCAGCTGGATCTGGAGGATGCTGCTGACTTCCAGGGCGACCTGCTGTAACCCTTCCTGGGACATTTAAAAACACAGAGAAGCTAAATGAGACTTCAGTGCAAAAGCAGGTGAGAATGAATTGAGCGTAATGCCCCAGCTCAACTCAAAAAGGTGCTTTTTTACAATTTGGATGGAGGCTTTTTTTCCTCCATTGGTGGCTATAAAGACCAGCAGGCTTCCCGGACTCGCAGCGGGGCGGTAGACCCGGAGGTGTCCGTAGGACCTTGACCTAGTGGGATTCCCCTGTGAGGACAGAGGTGCCCTTCCTCTTGCGAGTACCTGCAGGGGCATCTTATCTCTGTGGGGCTTTTTGAGCCGTGGGGAGTGGGGAATGGAAGGATCTGCCAGCAAATCTGCATTTGAGTGATGTGATTTGTGTCCAGGTCCGTGAGTGCGCTGGAAAAGCTGCTGCTAGAGCTGCTGATGGGATAGAGGTCATGCAAGGGGCTTCCCTGCGACTCAAAAAGCACCCAGCAGTGAGGTCTGGCATAAAAGCAAGTGGGGTTGCCTTTTCTGACAGCTGAGAAAACGCTTTTACTGCAGGAGAGGAGGGGTGGGGGGCGTTTGGACAGACAGACTTCACAAGTGGGGAGCTAGAGCAGTGATTTGAGTAGCTCTCAAACGCCCCGGTAAGTTTTGAAAAGCCTCGACACATCTTAAGAAAATCTTTTCTGAGCATCAAGACGCCGCTGAAGTTTCCAGCAGGTAGAGGTGTCAGCAGCACCGGTGCGTCAGCCCTGGGCAGCTGGTGTGGAGCCAGGGGGTGCTTTGGGGGTGGAGGTGTCTGGCACTAATAGGGAATATTAAAGGGAGTCTCCGAAAGATTGGGAAGGTGATAGCTGTGAAACCTGCATAGGCTTGCAAAGTGCCATGTTTGAGGCTAATATTTTGGGACTAAAAGTTACCCAAAGGGTACCCGCTACATAAGGGTTGTTGGGAGTGAACTGCTGGGCTGGTTTTTGTCGATGAACTTTGCGACATCTTTATATAACATATGATATATTTTAGTGTGCTGTAATACATCTTTGCTTCCAGTTCTGTCATTTTTGAGTAAAAATGAGCTAATGGGCTTTTTGGTGTAATTTTTAAAATTCGCACATTATCCAAAATGATGAGAGCTGTGAATAAGACCTGACAGATACCAGTGCAATTGCTGTTTCAGCTCATGAAATCACTGAGGAAAAGAGAAGAAAAACTGATACATCTCCTCTCTTAAATTTCAGCCAGAAATATCAGATAATTGAGGGAACCTCTCAAAGCTCCAGCTGCAGACCTGGGCTGTCAGGCTGGCCTACATACTCCTGGGAAGGCACAGCCAGAAGCTCTGGTGGAGAAGTCATCTTCATGGAGACATCATCTGCAGGAGAAATATTTTCCAAGGAGGAGATAGATGTAAATCTTTGCTTTAGAGGAGCTGTGAACAGTTTGGTTTTGTGCATGGAAGGAGAAAAGTGGAGGGTCCTTCCTACCACGTGCGGGAGCAAGGAGAAGGAGAAAAGTGGAGGGTCCTTCCTACCACATGCGGGAGCGAGGATAGGCAACGGAGCTGGTGAGGGGTCTGGAGCACAAGTCTTGTGAGGAGAGGCTGAGGGAGCTGGGGTTATTCAGCCTGGAGAAAAGGAGGCTGAGGGGAGACCTTCTCGCTCTCTCCAACTCCCTGAAAGGAGGGTGTAGCCAGGGGGGGTCGGTCTCTTCTCCCAAGGAACAGGCCATGGGACAAGAGGAAATGGCCTCAAGTTGCCCCAGGGGAGGTTCAGATTGGATATTGGGAACAATTTTGACACAGAAAGGGTTATGAAGCCTTGGAATGGGCTGCCCAGGGCAGTGGTTGAGGCACCATCCCTGGAGGGATTTAAAAGCTGGGTTGACATAGTGCTTAGAGACATGGGTTAGTGATGGGTTTTATCAGAGTTGGGTTGATGGTTGGACTGGATGATGTTAAAGGTCCCTTCCAACCCAGACAATTCTATGATTCTATGATACTGGGACCAGGGGATTTGGGATCTCCTGCCTCCAAGGTGAATAGAGCAATAACAAACCAACTTGTGATCTCAGGGAAGGTGGGACACGGGCTCTGGAGGCAGCGGGCACCCTCTGTCCCTCCCAGCCCCCCACGGCCCGTGGTGGCTCCTGCGCTGGGGGGGTGACACAGCCTGCACGAAGCCTTCCTGAGCAAACAGCACAGCATCTGAACTCTTACCTATGAAATTCAATTCTGGATTTCCTAAAGCAATCTCCCTTGTTCCACCAGCCTCATCAGGGAAGAGTGTAATTGCATTTAATCCATTTCTTGAATTCAGAGTCGACTGCGCTGCCATCGAGCCGATATTGCTGCTCTGCTGTCTCTAGAGATGAAGTGACGAGTTTAGACCTCAAATCGAATTTGGCTCTAAGCTTCCAGAGGATCTATCAGCTAAATTGCCCCTTGTCTCTACCCAGAAGCTTTGTCATGCAGTTTAGCTCTGCGAGGAGGCATTAGGCCAGACAAGTGAGGTTATCCACATTTTTTTGTTTTGGGAGCAATGAAATGCTGAAACAATATATATGCAAAGCAATCAAAATATTTATAGTGAGGGCTGAGTGTTCATTTTGAGGACACATGCTGCCTTTTGGAGTTTTCACCTGCCTGAATTTGTACCTCTCCTCGTATGACTGCAAATAAGGTTTCACAAGCAGTTGTTGACATAAACCTCTACATAAACTATAAGAACTATATAAACTATAGAGGTTTATGTCAAATATATGTATTTCCTGATGGGCATTCATGGACAGAGACCTGCAAACGACTTTCCAGCATAACATTAATCTGAGCCCTCATTCTCCTAATGAGGTCTCAGCTTCACAGCATATGGTGGCTACTGGCACGACACTCATTGTGCCAGCGAATAGTAAATTTTCTGGTAAGTAAAAGGTTGGGAATAACGCGAGCTATAGTTAAAAGGGATGTGTTCAAGGGATATTTAGGCCACATGAAAGGTGAGATTTCAAAACAGCTCCTTTTAGTTTTGAAGAAGTCCTTAACTCAATGTCTGTTCCTCTTTGAAATGGCATTTTCCTTTTAACTAGTATCTTTAAATTGTAAAGGCAGTATGTAATGGGTTCAGATGATCCACAAGTTGAATTAAACTTCTGATTTCAGGTCAATAGTTTAACCCAACCTGGGATGGAAATGTCGGAACCTTTTCTTTTAAACAAGCCATACAAATACACGCTGTTTGGTTTTTTGGGTGGGCTGCAGCTGGGTGTGAGCCCTGGAGCAGTTTCCCGGGGAAGGAAGGATACTCCAGCTTTTCCAGCGGGGTCTCCACTCCTGTCCCCACAGGAGGAGCTGCCTCTCTGCGGCTGCGAGGGGACACGGGGCCTGGAGGGGTCTCTCTCCTCCTTTGCAATCACTGCTCTGGCTCGGTACCGCAACAGCTCTGGAGGGTTATTAATATTAGGGGAAGCACATGGAAAGTATTATATTGTGCAATATAAGCAGGTGGATAGAGGGGTTACAGCATGCGGGAGATGTGTGCTCCACAGGGGGAAACCGGGGATTCCCCCTCTGGGCATGGCAAGCTGGGAAGCGTATTAATAGACATCATTACATTAGAATAATTGCTGTGGAATCAGCAAGTGCGTACATAATCTTTAATGCCTGGGAAATCTCACACAGTTTCAAAATAATTAAAAGTGGGATTAATCTAGATGCCAGACAACGCCTGCCTAATTACTAATGAATGAAGCTGTCGGAATGGCTGCAGCACCCTCTGCAGCCTCTGCTGCTCCAGCACTTTGAAGCCAATCCCCTCTGAACTCCTGACAGGACATGCTGGGTGAGCTGACCCCACGACAGACCCACGGCAGGGATTTCGAGGTAAAAGGGTGCAGAAAGGGATTACCTGGCTGGGTGAGAAACTGCAGCTGGCAGGGGTTCCCCAGCGCCCCAGAGCAGCAGGACCCACGTGAAAAAGTGCCCCCGGGGAAGATGATCTGTCCCCAGGCTTTGAGCAGCGCTGTTTTGCAGACCTGACTTCCATACGGCACCATTTGACTCCTGTCAAAAATAAATCAGCAGTGCTGGGGAGAACCCAGAGCGCTGCAGAGCCCCTACAACCTGAACAGACATCCCCTGCACGAACCCAAAATCATGGAATCATAGAATCATAGAATCGTCTAGGTTGGAAGAGACCCTTGGGATCATTGGATCCAACCATCTACCCTACTCTACAAAGTTCTCCTCTCCACCATATCCCCCAACACCACATCTAAATGACTCTTAAACACATCCAGGGATGGTGACTCCACCCCCTCCCTGGGCAGCCTGTTCCAGGGTCTGACCACTCTTTCTGTGAAAAATTCTTTCCTAATGTTCAGTCTAAACCTCCCCTGTTGGAGCTTGAAGCCGTTCCCTCTCATTCTATCATTAATTACCTGTGAGAAGAGACCAGCACCAACCTCTCTACAGTGTCCTTTCAAGTAGTTGTAGAGAGTGATGAGGTCTCCCTCCACCCTCCTTTTCCTCAAACTAAACAGTCCCAGCTCCTTCAACCACTCCTCATAAGATTTGTTCTGCAGGCCCTTCACCAGCTTCATTGCCCTCCTCTGCACCTGCTCCAG